GGATGTACAGCTGTAATTTGCTAAGGCCAGACCGCCCTTGGGCCCAGCCGGGGGTCCGGCTTAAGGGCCTAGCCTGAACCCGTGTAGGAGCCCCCCCGCTCCCCCTGTATGTGAGTGTGTGTGTGTGTGTGTGTGTGCGTGTGTGTGTCGGGCGAGACTTTAGGGTGGCACTAAACGAGGCCGCATATCAAGCCGTGTGCGACGAGGTGCCTGTACGCCTCCACCCCCCCCCCCCCCCTCCTACGTCGTCCTCCCCTGGCCAGCCCAGCACCACAAAGGCGATAAGGTGGAGTGCGCCGGCACCGGCAAACTTGCGCGACAAAATTACGAAACTACACGAAGAAGTTGCTGCAGCAGCAGCAGCAGTATAGGAGCAAAGCGGCCCCAACCAACAAGCTGCAGCCCGCCCCCGCCCCGTGGCAGGTCTTGCGCAGCTTGCAGTCTGCTGCGTTGGCTGCACAACGTACAGGCCCTTTCCTTGCTTCCTAAACCCCCCCGTCCCTCCGCCGCACTTCCCCCGACAGTATGCCCCGACAACACTCCCTTCTCCTCCTCTATCTCTCTTTCTTTTTGCTCCCAGTCAGAAAATTGCGGCTTAAACGCTCGGCCCTAACCCGCAGCCGGCTGCCCCCCCCCCTCCTCCTCCTCCTCCTCCTCCTCCATCTTTCCCCTCCACCGGACCAGGTGCGGTCCAAACCAAATAATGAGCAGCTTGTTGACTCGACGGACCTACTACCCCCACGGGAGGGGGTAAAGCAAACACTCTAATACTCTCTACCGCCACGGTCTCTGGACCCCTCACCCCCTCTCGAAATAAAATAAACTTAGCCTCATGCAAAGCGACGCCCAAGTAAAACGCTGCTGTGAGAGCTATTACTAGAGAGAGATAATTATCCAGAAATTCTTCTGCAAACTACTTCAGGCACAGCCGGGTTAGTGTCCAACTTGTTCTTTGCCATTTGTAGATCTGAGTTACCCACAGTTTTATAATCAGGGAAAGATACTGTAAACACCAACCAGAGAGCTCGGACTTTCGGCGCTTGCCGCCTGCCTGCGTCGCTCGTGAACCAACCAGGCAAGGACGCCTGACCAAGTGAATACGTGGTGGTAGGGGAGGTTCGATGAGCTGCCTAACATTCGAGGC